AAAAAAAGAAAGTGACTCTAAACAGTCTTTTTATAATTAATGTTATGACACGTTAACTATCATGTTATACAGGCGACTGCACTGCGGGAGGACCAGCTTTAGCTTGTCCACCATCACCGATAATTTTTTGGTTTTTGAGAAACAATACATCCAACTACTTCTTTCAACCAAAGCAGTTAGAGAGCTGACAAGTTTAAAAGCTAAACTATGCCTAAACAGCGTCATGTAAAAACAACTTCAGACGCTGTGAGCTACAGAAGACAGTGCTGGCAATAATGTTAAAAACACTGGTTTACACATTCACCTCGACAGCATTATAATGTCTAATATATGTTGACATCAAATCAAATCGAACAGAATAAGAAAAATACCCTCAATCTTTCATTATACTTTCCACGTCCACTACGGCCCACTCAGGTATGAGTGACAAATTTCATCAGAAGGTGGGTGCCAGGTGCCTGCTTGTTTTTTGTGTACGCGCGGAGTTACGTGTGGAGAATTTGCATTGCAATCCACAAACTACGCATGCACCCCAGGTGGTGGACTTCAAAGAAGTATAACAGGAATGGCTACTTGGCCATCAGGTCTCCAGCTGTCCATGTCCACAGCAACGCATAATGAAGGCTTCAAGCTGCATCTTACCTGTGGTTAGCCTACGTCAAAGGAAGTGCAGAGCACACGGGTCAGCAATAAGCCCATTAACTCAACCGCTAACAAGAGTTTATTCAATGCATTGCAAGGTTGTGTTAAAATACAAATGTAGAAAATACATTTCTCATTCTTCATAAGATTGCAAGGCGTTCCAGGAGGGGACTTTCCTGCAAATGTTACTGAAATGTTATCCATTTAATCTTGGTGAAGAAATTGTTATTAACAGAAAAGTAGCTTGCTATGTGAAAGCCCGGGGTCCTGACAGTGGGGAGGCGGGGTTCTCCAGAGAGCCTGATTTGAGTCAGACAAACAGATTGAGCTGATTGTAGGACTGTGGCGGTCACTCCCAACAAACTATTTATCCTTTACAGAGCGACCCATGCTGTATGCGCTCTGCCCATCTCAAACTCAACATGCGCCCGCTGACACGACAGCTCAGTGCAGGGCTGATCCCTTGATAACTCGATCAGATGGTGAAGTTTAGCTGGGAGATAGCAGATCTCAGATAATTTAAAAATCCTCCACATAAAAAAGAAAAAAGCACAGGAGGTCACAAAAGATCATGGGGTGCATGTAAGAGTGTGTTTGGTCAGCAAATTTACTGGCTTTACAGAAACGGCAGAAAGATAAAAGTGTGATCTGTAGAGGAGTTCAGCACAAACCTGGAGACCTGTGTGGTCCAACTGTACTACGTGAATGGCTAAAATCAACTCAGAAATATCTAGAAGGGCGCTGATACAGCACATGCCCCACCGTGAACAACGCATCCATCCATCATCTTGGGCTTATCCTTATCAAGTCAGTGATTCTCAAAACCAAACTGATGACTGCTTCCTTCATCTGTGCTTAAATTTCATACAAATCAGCTTCATATTTGTTATGTAATCTTTAAGGATATTAATATCTCTGAAGCCACTACTACAGTGTAATAAAGGTGTGATAGGAGAAAAAAAAAGCTTTTTTTTTCTTCTTTTACTGGACTTGTTAACTGTCAGCTACTGCTGGAGGTTTCAAATCAACAGTGGTGATCAAAGAGGCTTCTTTCAGCTGCTCCCTTTAGGGGTCGCCACAACGACCATCTCTTCCATCTCCCATCCCTTGCAATCTCTGTTACACCGACAGCCGGTTCTGCATGTCGTCCTTCACTACATCCACAAACCTCCTCTGTTGTCTTCTTCCATGTTCAACATTTTTTTCTCCAATATATTCCCAATTTCACATGCTCAAACCATCTCATCGGTACAAGTACACATCTAGTCAGTACACTTCTTTTGAGTTCTTATGAGCCTTCATTATATATGCCACATGCTTTTTTCCATGATGAGAAGCCATAAAGCAACTATTATGTAGTGTTGTTTTCTAGTTCAAAGGAAGGCTTCTCCCAGAAGATTACAATATGTTTATTAGCCGCTTCGTTAAAGTTGGGGTTGGTGAAGCCTCACACGTTTGCTTTTCTGCCTTTTTTTTAATTTTTGCAACACTATGAGTTACAGAAACTGAGATCAACATGCATGTCTGGGTGAGATCTAAAGTGACCTCCCCTTAGCCTCAGTTTACTCATTTAACAATAAAACAAGCAGCTGATTTTGTTTTGAAAGAAGATCACAACTCAAAGTCTCTTACTGCCAAGCAAACAGGAGCTGATCTCATGAAGAAAAAGTTGCATTTTACTGCTTGAAGCACTACTGGATCTTTTTATGATTTACTACTGCAGGTTGTTACAGTTCATCTCCTGACGAAGGAAAAATATGCTCTGAATAGAGCACCTGACCTGAATCAAACTTATAACCATGCATGCAAGTCGACACAGCGTCTGATATTTTCAAAAATGGAAGAAAATAAACAAAGTATTGTGTACAGGACTTATTATTTTTTTGTTATTGAAAACAAAACAGCAATACAATGTGTTACTACTGTACTTTATAAACACGAAAATCTGACCTCAAAACCCCACAGGGTTCAGAACCATTGTGTTTTCAATGGGACAGTCGTGTGCTGACTTTCCCCCCAGGTTATTAAAGTCGCTTTGAAAATCACAGCTGAACTCTAAAGCATAAACATCCATCTGAGATGTTGGAAATGGGATTTAGGACCTCACTAACAAAACACAAACATTAACACGGTATTATTTTGCCTAACATCATGATACTAAGTGCAGGAAGACCGTGAGTACGTGTAAATGCACATTTGGCATGGCTTAGTTTGTAAAGAGAGTGGCTTCTTGTTGACATGGTTTATTTAATGCCACATTCATGTGGCTGATGGCACGACCGCAGGGTTTCTGACTTATTCAATGGCACTTGACACATCTTAAGCTTGCCTTGTCAACCATCTGCAGTACATTGTGTCTTTAATAACAGACAATAGAAAAAAGGCTTTAGTACAGATACAGAGTGATGTATCAATAAAATCTCCTGTTGTAATATGAAACTATGCCATGTTAAATTGTTATGAAGCTTCAGTAAGCTACATCAATGTTAAATGACAAGTTTTCATAAACAACTGGTCTCCATACAGTTACTTTAGTGAGTCTGTTTGTTCATTTTTTTTGGCCACTGCCAAAAATGCATTTCTCTCTTGAGTAAAGTATATCCCTAAAATATATTTTCATACAACAACCCTGATCATTTGGTTGGTGTTTTTGGTATCGAGGTAAAAACCATATTATAATTCTCTCCTGAGAGTAAAAATATCATGGTTTAATGTCAGGGATCATTTAAGGAGTCAGGCGAATCCACTGCTGTGATATTTGTATCTGCTAATATTGACCACGGGTCTACAGGCAGAGACTGACTGCAGTGCTGCCTGCAGACTGCAGCAGCCTCCTCAACGACCACCTCAAGGAATAAAACAAAGAAAAAACTACATGCGCAGATATAATTCAGCACCCATAGGATTGGCTTAATAAACTGGAGTCCCCAGACACCGCATGACAACCCTAAAGGCCCCCTTTGTCCATGCCCCAATGTGTCAAAGGAATTTTGGAAGCACAAGGGGACAGGCACTATATTAGTTTGGTACCTTTAACCCCCTAAGAGCTGTGGTGACCGTCTTCCTACCTCTTTGCTCTCCAATGCTTTTGTTTTTATAGATTCCCCCAAGTCTTGGCACCAAAATCCATTTGCATTTTATCAAGAAAACGTCCCTCTTTGGACTTTTCAAAACATGCGTTTAGTGTTGAGAACATCACCTGCAATGCACATTTTCAAAATGATACAAACACATACCACTATCACAGTGGTTTAGATCTGATTTAACGTTTTAGTGAGGATGTTTTAGTATCAGTCGAGCGCTGCGAGGATCATAATATCACAGATGAAACAGCAGGTTGGCTGCTTTCATAAGATGCTGCCTGAAACCACCTCTGTGACTTCAAGGCTGGGATTTCCCCTTATTTCTACACACACACACACACTGTGCACTGGCATAACACAATAATAGCAGACATGCTACCTGTTGGTATTTTCACCCTGCTGCAGGCAACAAGGCTAACGTTGTTTCCATCTGCTGTGACAAAAAAAACATTCAATAACGAAAAACACAGATGCTGTGACACTACCACTGTAAATAAACACAAGAGCGAATTAAGCTTCTGTTGCAATAATTAATACTATTAATTAGAGAGACGCACACGTTCGTTCTTTATTTAAAACAAATCCTTTTAGGTTAGGAATGATGGAGCTCACTGAAAATCTAGGTCACATAAAGATCTATGAAAGGATGCAAAAGGTGTGTTTTACCCCCCTCTCCCAGCCACCATCCGAGAATATACCAACTAATACCAGTTGATTCTGCACCAGCCCCTGAGACTGGGAAACTTGAAAGACAGGTAGGTCAGCCCGGAGGGGGGCAGTGGATCTCGCAAGCATTCCTGATTTTCCCCCGGTGTAGTGGAAAACGGTATTACTAACTGCGTTCAAAAAGCTCCCTAATTAAACTGCCAAGTACACCGAAGAGCATACAGAGATCTCTTCACGTGGAAATATGATTAGATAAACATTAACATATATCCTGTGAATTTCGGATATAAGAACCACCTCACAGTTTGTTTCGACTAACTAAAATTATTAATTGTGTACCTGGTGTTCGCCAACTCCCACCGCTCTGCGTGAAGTAAATCAGCGGTTCGGGATAACAAGACTGTCGTGGCTAAAGTTAAATTTACATTTACATTAGTTCTTTTTTTGCATTTTATGTGTGTGCCGAATAGCAGACAGGTTGTGAAAAATCCCTATAACATGTTGAGTCACGTTCTCCCATGACTCCAAACAGCCACACGCCAAGGCACTTTTAAAATATCGGATTTTAGAAGGAGCTCAGCTTGACAAGAATCCTCTCCAGATCCTTACCTCCTTGATTTTAGCCCGTCTCTCCCTGGTTTCTGGGTCCTGGGGTTCTAGTCCTGTCGCCCCTGGCGGGCGGTGGTACTCTATGAAAGGTAAATTATTGCCATCCTTCGCACCTTTACCCATGCTCTCCTTTGTAACTTTCGCTTTATCAGCTAGAATGTCATTTTGTATCACGTCGGGAAGTTTTTGTAGAGTATCCTTAGCCTCTAACAGAGCCTTTTCGTGGTCTTTCTTGATTTTTGCCAGGAGCCTGTCGTCGTTTCCAGCCGAACCCGCGTCGCTGCTGTCCGGACCGGTGTGGGTGTTCGTTTCGACCGCGGAGGAATGAAAGAAAACTCCGCTGAGCAGCTTGGAGGAGTCCGGAAGGAAGAAAATTGCCCCGAAACACAGGGTTATAAAAGCGCTGAACACTAATAACAAAATAAATTTCTCTGTCAACCTGAAAGAAGTCGGGCTGGCAGACTTCCTATTCGGGGTCGCGGTAAAAGGCAGAAGAGTTGCAACTGGCATTTTCCCCTCTTCCTTTAACAACTCAAACAACACACAAAAAACGATTTCAAATGGGAGATTTAACTAGAGTCGGGCTCAGCTTCGGCTTATTCCGTTCAGAAATCCATCTCCGAGTGATACGAGCCGTGTCAGATGGAAAACAACAGCGATAAAATCTCCTGTGAAAAGTTCTGCCGTGAAGCTTGTGTCCATACCGGAGACTCGCTGCAGATAGAGCGAGTCCAACGGCTCACACAGGAAGCCACGGTAGATGGGCGTGACTGAAAGGCGCGATGACCTAATCACGTTCGTCCCTGTGAGTGGTGGGAGCTCTGATGTGGGCGTGTCCTAATAACTGCGTGGTATAAAGCCGCTGACAGCCTCGGAAACCGTCATTTCTCACTAAGCGGGGAGAGAGTTTGAGTGGAATGTAACACACGGGAATTTGAGCTTGTTACTTTCCTAAGCAATATACACAAAAGTAGGATTTATTAGACGAAATTCTCCACCATCTCTCCGAGATACAGACAAGTAGGTATGGTATTGAATGAGGAATTTTAAGAATTACCTGAAAGCATCATAAAATGCCTAAGCGCCTCTCTGCACCCACCTCACTACCAACAGCAATGCATAAATGCAACACAACAATGATTAGCTAATAACATCACATACAAAACAACAACAACAATAAAACACCAATACATTTGTACTTTTATTTCTTCAAACATGTTAACGGAGCACATTACTTGTAGTAATAGTTTATTATTGTTGTATTAGCAGTTTTGCATTACAAAGTAAAGTTAAATACTACTTTTGCCACAAGCTAAATTCCTCACTGGCTCATTTGTAAGTCTAGTCCTCTCTAACAAATGAGAAAAGCATATCATGTGACTTTCTGTCTGAACTTCAGTCATGTGATCCGTTAATTTTCACAGGTTTGGGGGGATTGAGGGTGGGCAAAACAATAGCGGCTTTAGGCCCATTAAGACAGATGATGTGGAAAAACCTTATTGACTTTTATGTTTAAAAACCCTAGAATCTCATGTTCTGCATGCCAAAGGAATATATAATCAAAGACAAACATTCATCTTCTCAAGAAAGACTGGCTGGTGTGAACCATGATAACAACCGTCACAGGGCCTTGGTGTTTCTGGTGTATGATAAGACAACAAATGAAGGAACTGCCTAAGAGTGAATGTCCTGCAAAGATCACACCAGGGGTGCAATATGTGACGAAGGTGAAAGAGCTGAAAAGGAGGCCAGGAGAAACAGGAAACACCTGCGGAAATGTCTGCAACCTGCTAAAATCTTTGTTCATGTGTCAACTTTAGGACACGTGAACACCATGGGTGTTAATGGAAAGGTACCTCAAAGGAAACAACTGGTCACTAAAAAAATAGAACATGCCCCCGTGTCTTAAATGACCTTGATGCTCATCTAGAAAACATAATTCTTAGTAAAAATCCACAGTGCTTGCAGGGAAAAGGCACTACACACAAACACAAAGCTTCACAGAGGGAGCATCATGGTTTGGAAATAGTTTGTATCCCTTCTATTATTGAGGAAACAATGAATTCAAGAATACATCAAGTAATCGTTCAGGACAATACATAGCTTCGGTCCATGACTTAAAACCTAATGAAAAGACTCAAAGCACAGAGGTAAATCAGAGCAGTGGAAAGTAGTGGAAAATGAAGTCAGAGCACTGACCTTGAGATGCTCTGCCATGACCTGAATAGGGCTATTCAACCAAGACTTTCCTCCAATGTTGATGCACTAAGGCTTTTGGAGGAAGTGGTGGTCTACATTTCCTTTTGATTGTTGTGCAAGGCTTATAAGCAGCTACAGGAAACATCAGATGGTGACAGACACTATTAAAAAAGGCTGCTAACAGGAAACACAATATAAGAACAATGAAGCCACTGTAGAAGTGCTATAAACGCCAGCTGCTCTTTATGGCCATTTGAGGCTGTTCCAAAAGGGTCAGTCCTCATAGATTCCGATTTTTTCCCGTAATGTCAAAATGTTTAAAATCTGGTGAAAGAATTTTTTTATTAGATTTATTTATTTATTTATTTTACAAATCACTTTCTTAGATTGTCAAGGCTAATGAGCTGTTTGTTAAGACATGGCCACATTTCGTTCCAGAAAATGAAGATGGTTGTCATTATAAAAGCTAAAACGGAGGCTTCAGAACACAGAGTTTACTAACAAGAGGGAAATATCACAGTCACTACATCCATCTTTTATATCAGTCTATTGAGCTGACTTGTTTTTTCCAACGCGCTGCGATAGATTATTCAGCGTTGTAACAAAGACATGAAAAGTACAACCTTTTACGTGTTAATCAGTCAGATTGTTTTCTCTGTTATTGTGACCTGTGTGAATCTTTTGTAATTACCAAGTCTTCTGAACTGATCACTCATAAAACGTGGTCTGATCTTTAGAGAGTTGCAGCTATAGAGAGAAAAATGCCAGACTTGTTTATGCAGAAGTGCAGCGAGTGACGCGCCTCATAATACACAGCTGACAGCCATTGAAAACCTCATATAATACATTTGTGCAGGGTACTGATTATTATTCATAGGCTTAACAAATTGGATAAAACCTCAGTCCCGCGATGCTCAAGAACATGCACACATGCATGATTGCACACATAGATTTTTACTGATGAGATCCATGATCTTTGTTAGTCCGTTTTTGAATGTGAGAGATAAATGGCAATCATTTCAATTGTCTCCACTGCATACTCGTAATGGCTTGAGGAACCAGACGGTTATAAAACATGCAATTTAACCTTAAATGGGACTGGAATTAGCTACAGCTAAGAGCATATTTTATGAAAGAGAGAACTGAAATAATCTATTTTGGATTTCTTCTCTGTTACTGATGTGTGTGCACCTGATTTCAAACTGAAAAGTTCATCTTACTTGCTGGTTGATAAAAGCTTACATTTCTGTACATATCTGACAAATTATTGTCACGCCAATAGGAATCACAGAGCTTGAGAAGTGGAAACTGTCTGGATCGAAATCTTTGTTAGTATATACCATACTTCACCTGTGGAGAGATGGAGAGTCTAATCTGGGGATGACAGATGTTTGCTGCCATTTTGAAATTCCAATGCTGGGATGACAACTTGTCTAAATGATGACACACGTCCGTATGATTACTTTCTCTCTCCAAGATTCAAGCAGAAAATTAAATCTTAGATGAAATGCGCAACATCTCAATATTGAACTAAGACTCTCTTGTGGAAACGGTTTTGACAACTGACAGTCTTTACTCCGTCACTGCGCGAAGGTTGTCTTTAGCCTTTTCAGTCGCATTTGCATTTGTATTTTTTGATAATGTATGTATCAAAGAAACAACAGCTTCCCAGTGCTGCTGTGGTTTTCTAGGTGAGGAGGAACAAGTAATCCTTTGTTGTGAGGCTGGTTTAACTTGTAGAGAAGCGTTGGAGGATAAACCCACTTTTAAGGCTCACTCAAAGAAAAAGTCCTCTCTGTACAATCCTACGCAATTAGATCTTAAAGGTCCCTAAGAGTTATTTTAGAAATGAAGAGTTGTACTTAGTTTTTTGTACTCATTTTCCTTTAACCCCATGGGGAAAGCTGTTCACGTCGACCTTTACATGGCAATTACAAATAGGACGAGGGGCATTTTTTTGTAGTCTGCAATATTTCTCATTTCACATCATAAACTATTGTGACAGCATGTCAACACTGGAGGCAAGCACTCTACTAAATCTACTGATGTCAGCAGTCCCGCATAATAAAAATCAAAAATAATCAGCTGTAACCCCACTCGGAGAAAGTGAGAAATCTTTTGTATACATATTTTAAGTTCATATGATATGTTAGATGCGTCTCAAAGGAGATAAACACACGAAGCCTTCAAACCAACAATAACTGCGTGTCATTCTTACTGCGCCGCAATGAATTATCGTGTTTGGTAGACATCGGTTTTGAATTTTTATGCAGGAATGAGGCCTTCGCTCCTTTATCGTGATTGATGGGAGAATGAAATTTATTTATCTAAGTCTGCAGGGGTGGAACTGAACCCTGTGAATGTTATGTTGGATCACCTGCTTTAGTGGACTACTATCATAGAAGATAATATACTCAACAAAATTAACAGAGAAATCTATGGTACAGTATATCACCAATAGCTCATCTTAGGATTCTTGTAGCAATCATGTTTCTTTCTTTTAATTTCACATCAGGCAAAGAAATTCCGATTCCTCGAGTTGGATCTGGTCTGATGTTTTCAGGCCACTTTTTTTTCCTAACTTAAATAACAAGGTTGGGTTTCTTTAGTCAGCGTTTTCCTGAATTTATATAAGCCAGAACTTGTTTTTGTCGTTAGGGTATAAAAAACAGCCACTTCATGGTTATATACGTGGGTGGATCCCTACAAATACGTGCAAGTAAAAGAGTGGAGTAAAAATTGCTGAAATTGTGACTAAATTCAGACATATTAATGCTGTGAAATTTTCACAGATGCAGTATAGGGTCAAAGCAACCATTATAATCAACATCACTATCGTTCCAGTAGTGTTGCAGTGTCTGCTAGTATCCCAGCACACACTGCAACATCCTGTAACCAGCACATCCTTCTTGGTTCAAAGAGCAACAGACACATCTGAATTGTTATCTGTCCATCAGCTGGACCGACAAAGAGGGTGGTGTTCACACACCCAAACTTCTTTTCTTTGAAGGGGGAAGACAGGCCAGGTATCTACAAACATCAATCGAAATCAGATTACAACCCATTATTTTGTAACTTTTCTAGAGAGGTGAGCAGCACATGATCCAGGGAAGGATGGATGACTGAATGCACTGGGTTTGCCCCCACCCACTGAAACACAAGGAACACACTCCTGCAATTGCAGAGGAGATGCAGAAAACAAAGGCAGGGCCAGTGCAAGAGGACAAAGTGGTAACAATAAAAAGACAAATAGGGCTGCATAATTGTCTTCTGTTTCTCATTTTTAGACAATAACTTTTTTCACTTTCCCACTCGGTGTGCACTCCAGTTCATCTCCCTACTATGGATTTCTCAAATGTACACTTTTTTTTTGTTGCCTGTCCTGTTTGGATCTTTAGCCATCAGAATTGTTGTCTGAAGGGCAAGAAAGATGCCAAGCGGATCTACTTTACCAATTGAATTATCATGGCCTTGCCATATTGGTCCATTTGATTGACCTTTATTATAATTATGTATTTATTTGATTTGATTTTTGGTTGTTA